AGAGCTGGCGACTTCCGGCGACACGAGCGACAGTGACCGTTGGCGACAGAATGTGGGCGTGTCAAGCGATAAAAGTTACAAATTGTTTAACTTTATGCAAATGAACAGCAAATTTCGCGAGCAACAACCAATAGGAGTGAAGAATCTGTCAGTGGCGCACACACGTCACCGTCACGAGTGCAGGCAAGACAGGACAGATTTCCTGAGTGATTTCACTGTTTTATATGAATATGATTTTACTGTAACCACATACATGGATATAAAAAAAAAATGATGCAGAGAAAATAAACTGTTGGCTGTCTATGTGAGTTTGATTCATACATAGTGGTCGACCGATAATGTTTTTTTGACAGCCGATGCCGATACCTTAGAGAGCAGGGTGGCCGATATAAAGCCAATATATATAAGTATATTTTTTATTTTAATTATCATTTTTATTTGTAATGTAAATAAACATACTTATACTGTAGATGACAACTTCCTGATTCTATAATTCTATTACAGTATTTTTCACAAATAAAGAAATATTTTAAAATATATAAACAAAAAGTAAGTAAACACTGTAACCAACAGGGCACTTGGGAATCTTGTGTGCATTGGGAATCATATTGTTTCAACTAAAGCCAAGGTAACACTCATTTTACATGCAGCACGCAGTAAAAATGACACGAATATGACAGTGTGCAAATGCATAAATCAGCATAGTTTGAAATAACGAGTTTAAAGTTGATCGCGCGTCTCCAGTGAAGCTGAACTCTCCTCCTGTCCGGATTCAATTCGCACGGATCGACTGTTACGCAGAGCACACACGATCAGGCAATATACAAATGCACACTTCACAAGATCTCACAGCTGGATTCGACTAAGTCTGAAAGGTTTGTGAAATTAAATGTTCATTAGTCATTTAAAGGTTTGTTTAAATGATATGTGTATTTGCTGAATGCTGACGGCAAACGAGAAAGTATTATGTTTGCCTTTCTGTTACTAATAATATAAAAGCAAGCTCTGGCGCTGTCATTCTCAGCGCCGTCAAAATAAAAGTCCCGCCTCGAACACATCGGCCAAGCAGAAAAACTTATTGGCCGATGCCGATATTTGAAAATGCCAAATATCGGCCGATATATCGGCCTTGGCAATATATCGGTCGACCACTATTCATACATTGATGGTTCGAGTTGTTAATTATATGATGCAGTGAGCAGTTTAGCACCGGTTAATGATTTAATGCACGAGCACTGCTGTAGTTTATATAACAACACTCTCCAACAGCAGAATGGTACTTTTATTTCTTTTAAGTCTAATTCCTAGTCATAATCGAATGATATCTTAGTTTTACCGGCAATATATAGTTTGTGATTGCATTTTATATGTCCAGATATGTCCAGACGTGCAGTCTACCAATAACATTAGAGCGACAGCAGTAGGAACGCCCACAAGCGTCTTCACAGCACAGAGTCTAGCGACATACGGAGAAAAAGTCGCTGGCAGTGTGAACGGGGAACGGGAGAGGTTTCAGACACAGCTCCACTTCACTTCAGCGCCAGGCGTGAGTCAAGCAAGCGCGGAAATGGTACTGTGCTCACAGCGCGTGCTCTAGCCTGTATCTTTTCATATCAAAGCGCAAAATAAACTACGTACATGCAATGTCGTGGTCAGTTAAGTCATGAAGTTACCAAAAAGGCAATTAAAGCTGCCTTGAAACTGCATGCATGTAATATATTTTATATGAGTCACGTTTAAGAACGTCTCTGAAATGGTTTTCAAAACAGTCCTGGAGCAGCCCAGCACTGTCTCCCTCATCTAACACACCCGATTTAACTCGTCAGTTCATTAATAGAGACTTTAAGACCTGAAGTGGGTCAGAAAAGGTAAAAAAGATTTGAGAGAAATGCATGCATGTAGAATCCGCGTCACGTTCAGCAGCGGCAGCTCTTAAAGAAATAACAGCCAAAATAACCTAATAACCAGCTGCTGTAATGTCTATTAATCAAAGGACAAAGAAAAAAAAGAGGAAATAAGAAATTGTATAGCTTTTTATATTTAATTTAGAATTTAGTTTTTGATCATTTCAATTTCTGTATATTTCTGCTGAAGGGCACAGGTAAATATGACATTTATTATAATGGGTTTATTTATGTGAAGATTGTTTTAAGTTCACTTAAATTAGAAGTTATTTTTTAAAGTCTTATAAATGTTAAAATTGATAGCTCTCAATTATACTGTAATGTTGAATGGCTATTGTCAATGGCAATTTTATAGAGAAATCAGTATTGGTATCATTGATTCTGGCCTTCAGTAAGATGCCATTAAACATTAAAAAATATACTTTCTTTATGTTGTTTGTACATTCATTTGAAGATTGAATGTGAAATTATTGCAATACAAAAGTATATTTAAAAACTTTAATGTTAGGTAGGATTAATCGCGATTAATTTCAGTTAATAGTAACTATAGTTAATAGTAATTTTTTTAATCGATTGACAGCACTAATAATAATATGTAAATATATAATAAATATAAACTTAAAAAAAAGTTAAATTGAACTTTTAAGTAAAAATTATTTTTGTTGAACATTGCCGATTATGATGAGCATTACCTGAGCAAGAAACTGTATAAGGAAGCGCAGTGATGCATAGTTCTCCTCAGGAAGTGACATCAGCATGTTCCGAATCCTTTCTGCCTGAGACTCTGTGTCAACATCTGATAACACAACACACATGGAATGCAAATCAAGTTTGTGTGAATGTGTGTGTGGTCATGTCACTTTCAAGGCTCATTGTAAATAGTCTACATGCAAAAGCTGTGGTTTTAACAATCAGTAAACAAATGTCAGTATAGTAGGTGTACAGATGTGTGTGTGCGCATGTATGTGAGCTTTCTGGAAGCTGCTGGTGTTGGTATGTGAGTGCATTGTGTTTTGTGTTCTCACTGTGGAAGTTGACAATGTCGTTGTAGAGCTGATAGGTAAGCAGCGGCTCTGGAAGTTCTCTGAGGAACATCTTTAAGATCACAGCTGCCAAGTGGACATCGTCCAGCTGAGAGAAACTCACTTCCTCTCCTACAGACACACACACACACACGCCACATTCTAAGGACTGATGCCAATCATTCTTGTGAACAGGAAATGTGTGAGGATTCTTCCGCATCACATGAATTTACCTGAGTTATATTTCACCTTAACATCCTTAACCAAAGAAACATTAGCAGAACGCCGGAATATTCCCTCTGTCTTAAGACCTACAATGAAGATGGGAATAAAATTCACATTCTCAATTTAAGAAAGTAAATAAATAAAGTTTACACTATTCTATAATAAATTTGGCCCATTATTCCACAACCCACCCCCCAGGCTAAACAAAAAGACTACTATTAGTATATCCAACCTTACGTGGATACATACAGTACATTCACGTTTAGAGGTACGTAAAAGGTTTGATTGAGCCATAAATCTGACTTGACTAAAAGACCTACCATTCTCTTGCAGGAATCCAATAGTATCACGCATAACTAGTGGAATTCCCTCTGAGTCTGCCGCCCTGTGTCTCAATCTGATTACAAGCAACAATACAAAACATCATCTAAATAAGCAAAAAAAAATCTAAATAGCAAAAAAGAATTTCTCAGTGCACAATCTAAATGTAAAAATGTTTCTATTAAATTCTGTAGTATAAATTCTCAATCTGATTACAAGCAACAATACAAAACATCATCTAAATAAGCAAAAAAAAATCTAAATAGCAAAAAAGAATTTCTCATAGTGCACAATCTAAATGTAAAAATGTTTCTATTAAATTCTGTAGTATAAATGAAACTGTCATCTTCAATTACATTCAGGAATAATTTCTTGCTTTCAGTCATTAACAGCAGCTGTGTGAGATATGAGAGGAACTGTTAGCGACTTAACTTACACTGACAGTGGAACGCCAAACTGCTGGAACGGAAGCGGAGGACTACGAGGGGGAGAGATCGGTCCAGGGACGACAGACGGCTTCAGGGACAGACGGATCTTATCATCATACCTACACAAAGAAACTCCTGAATGCACCTCAAAATAACTTTTTAATCTGGGCTAAGATATGACAGTGTGATTCGAACACATGTATAACTGTGTTTATAAAAGCAAAGCATATCTAAGAATTTCTTACTCTCGGACTCTGTTGGGAATCACCAGCTGATCACACTTCACAATCTCCTCCAGCTCACTCAAATAATTTATGTAGTTTAACTTACGGCCGAACTTAAAGCTGAAAACAGAACATAAGCACATCCATCTGTGATGTATTATGAAGTATTGTGCATTCAGGCTATAAGATTAAGATTACAGTACAGATCACACTCTACAATCAAAGTGAGAATAAAATAACATTGAGCATAGTGTAGCACTGACCTGATAAGGGGTTTGAAGAGAATAAGGATGGTTCTGATAAGCATGGTGGGATGGACTATGTACAGCGCCTTGATATTTTTCTTATACCTGCAACAGACACAGCAATACTGAAGCTTGACAGAACCAATAAGGTTTGCTCTCGTGTGCTGCTGTTAAAGCACTCATGAGCCTCTCACTAACAACACCATCACTCACTTCCTGTCGAACTCTCGATAGGCATCCCGAAGCCAGCTTAGAGAGGGCTTGTTCTCGCTGGTCAGACCATGATGGAAGTAGATGAGGGTATAATCACTCTCCACATACTTATCAAGAGTCTGCTTCAAATACCTGCACACAAATATCAATAAATGCACACACAAAATCAAAAGTTGTCTTTTTTTTACCACGAGTTTGAGTTCATATTAGACACTAAAACAAACAGAAGGCACATCTGCACTTATTAGCATATTTGTGAATCAGCTGTCAATTACTGAAACTTCAGGTTTTATTTATAATCTTCAGAGTCTGACATTTGCTCTAGATTTCATTACACAAACCATTCTGTTCTCAGACAACTCCTGAAGTTCCCAATAGGGAACTGAACTAAGTCTTGATTTCACTTCATTAAAAACTTCATTGTCTTTGAACATTGTCTTATGGTGCTTTGGCCCATTGAACACATGATTAATTTATAACTCAGCATATGAGTGGTTGACTGTTAACCAAAAAATGAAGAAAGGAAAACCTCATGAATCGTCCTAAATACATTTCTCATGGGAATATACATTTTGGCATTTTAAGCTAACTTTAATCTTGGAAGAACTGACAGTTAATCCCTGAAATCTTCAAATTATGTGACATATGGTGTATCATACATTTACATAAAAATGTAAAATACTTATTTTCAATAATTATTTCATTGAAATAAAGTTTCAGATTAAGTATCAATGTGGTGAACAAAATCACGTTATAATTTTAAAAAACTTTTGACAACATTTCCAACAAACTCTGATTATTTTATCCGATTATTATTTTGAATGTCACACCAGGATAAAAAAATAAAAATAAAAACAGTATTCTAAAATCGACATAAGCTTGTATATTTTAACATTGAACTGAAAAAAATATATATGTACAACATATCAATTAAAATCTAAATATATTATTATTAACCAAATTAACTGCACAAACAAACAGAAAACATCAGTTGATATATCAAAAGCGCTGATATATCTTCTCTTTCTGTCTCTATGGACAACTTCTCTCCTTGGATCCTTATAAATGTTTTCCCTGTACTCTTGTTCCCTGCACTTGACCTTGATCTTTAGAGTGTCTTGTGATCATCTACATAGGACAGCCTGGACAAGTTAATGCAGAAATATTAAAGGGGTCATATGATGCGATTTCATGTTTTCCTTTGTCTTTGGAGTGATACAAGCTGTTCGTGCATACAGAAGATCTGTAAGTCGCAAAGATTAAAGTCTCAAACCCAAAGAGATATTCTTTATAAAAGTGAACATCAGCCACGCCTACCTAAAACGGCTCGTTCTAACACGCCCCCACATGTCTACGTCACTGTGTGGGAAGATTTGCATAACACCGCCCAAATGTTCACGCAAAGAAAGAAGGCGTAACTTTGATTCTCGCTGTAGTATTGTTGCCGCCACCATATCGTGGAGATGCTGTGTGTTTCGTTGCGAAAGCCAAACTACTTTGTTTTGCCTTTGAAAAGAGAGAAAAACTAGAAATTAGTGGTTAAGTTTTATTTACAACACTGTTCCAGAACAGTACAACCCAAATATTCGAGTGTGTGCAGCGCATTTTACGGAGGAAAGTTTCGTGAACCTGGTAAGGGGCGTAACATTTCCGTCACACGCTTGAGGTATTCGGCCAATCACAACACACTGGATAGCTGGCCAATCACAGCACACCTCGCTTTTTCAGACCGATGAGCTTTGTAAAAATCGACGCTTTTCAGAAAGGCGGGGCATAGAGGAGCAACAATAACGTACAGTATGTGGAAAATAATGTGTTTTTTTAACTTTAAACTGCATAAACACATTTCATTACACCAAATACACAAAATAATGTTCTTTTTAGCAACGTCATATGACCCCTTTAATTATCAGGCGACACAGTGTATTGAGCACATCTAATGAACCACATAAATGAAGTAGAGCAGCGATGCCTACATGAGAAGTTTATGATGATCCAGCTGATGTTGGGGAGGCATGCGGCAAGCATTAAAAACAATGACCTTCCGACCAAAGTTATCATCACCTAAAAAGAAAGAGAAAGATCAGGAGATTTTAGAATTACAATTAACGCTAGCTGGTGAAGCTTGTGCATTTCATAATACCTCACCTGCAACCTCCACAATCTGATGTCTGGCAATGTCATAGAAGGGGTCATCCCAGGGCAGATGTGATGTGCCGCCAAGGCTTTTAATATCTGACGCTGCAGGAAAGACTATAATGAATGCTACATTTCAAACAAAAATAAAAAAACATGTAACTAAAACGATCATAAAATATCCCAAACACAAGCTATAGAGTATATGGCTATAGAGTGATAGAGGAAAGTCAGCCTCTCAGATCCCACTTGGCACTTTGCTAGCTCAACCAGATGATCAGGATTTGAAATTAACAACCACCAACCCAACAAATGCGAGTAAAATCAGCCGTGGTATCACATACTTTGTTCATTCTTGAAAAGTAATTTTTGCATGTATACTAGTGATTGTGTTCACTGCTTTGGACTGCTGCCATAAACTTGAGAACAAGAGTACAGAATGACGCATCCGGTGTGCCATACCTGCTTCTCATCCAGTGTGTGACCTAAGCCCCTAGGAAAGGAAGCCACTTTTTCTGAACCGTTCTGACTTTTCTTTTTTTTATGGATGCAAATGGAATGAATTAATTCAGTACACTGGCTTTTGTGAGGATATAAATTGTCAGCCTGCTAATCTTCAACGTGTTAAACACTAAACATTCATTTTGGGGTGACCTATACTTGGAATTACAACAAAAACCAAACAAGAATTTGGTTTTAATTTCTACTGTATTTTTATTTTATTTTTTTGACGAATACATTTTCATGGTATTGGTAAACAATGGTTGACTGTCATAAAATTTAAGGCCAAAAGTAAAAGACAATTACTTCCTTTTTCTTACACTGGTTTATTCTTTGAAAAGATCAGTATATGAAACTAAATTTTAAAATTCTTATTATCCTGTATGACACACAAACACGCACAATTCCCACCACCATGCACTCACCGGATTTGCTCAGGCTAAAAGGGTCATCTGGTGGCCACTGTTTGTCCTGTACCAGTTTGAGCTGGTCCAGGGCAGCGCTAGGAGAGTCATCTCCTCCCAGATCATCCTGAAGGTCCACCAGCAGGTCAGAGGACATGATGGTCCTCTTAGACAACACAATTCACACACAAAGGTTAGACACAGAACAGCACGTTACAATACCACACAATGTTATACCGAGATCTGTGAAAGCTCAGCTGCCTTCACACTAGGTTCCTGTCTGTCCTGCATAAGCCTGGGTAAATGCAGCATTTGCACACGGGCACACTTCCATGTTCAGTGACTGACCACAATGTCAAATGCTGAACAAGTCGTTTGAGTTTGTTTTCATAACTCAATCTTGCTAACTATTAATCTGCCCCCCATGAGAACTGTTTAATAGATGTAAGGCTGCGTGTACACTAGTGCATTTTTAAAAATGGCGTTTTAAAATGAAAATGATCCTTGTGCATACTGGCGTTTCCACTGCGTTTCAGAAAAGATCAGGGTAGTCAAGGTATCGGTATTGAAACTTTTTGAACGATGCCCAACCCTACTCACAAAACTCAAAAAAAAAATAATAAAAACTTAACTTCTTCATTGCAACAATATCACATTCAAAAGAACAGGTAAACTGTTGCATTATATTTTATTGTTAAATTAGCAAATTGTGTCCATTTAAAAAAATCATGATTGAAAAATTATTCATTTCCAGATCACATAACCACTAGCTGCTCTGCCATGTAAGCAAACTACCCCCAACAATTAATACCATTTGTTCTTTCTAAAACAGTACACAGCGCATCCATTTGAAAGCTTGCCCGTAGATTTCATTTCATCATCAAATGTTTTTATTTGCCACAACCATAATGATCACAATCAATCTTCTCAGCATGCTAGTGTTAGTTGTTCATGTCGGCAGGGTCAAGATTTGCGGAACTAAATTCTTAATAATATTATTATTTCTTATGTTATAATTACATTCTTTTAGTATTAAAACATTGTGGCACTGTGAATGTGCTATATTTTTTAATCTGTGTGTAGTCACAGGGCTACTAGTGCAGGCATCAGTAGGGCTCAGACAGTGATCTGCTGTGACAGTCCCTCGCTTTGGTGCCACACGGCGATGAGTCCGTCCAGCCGTATACTGACAACAATTCTAGGTTTTACCCTTTGCTCCTATTTATATCCTCAACCCTTGAAGAGCCAGTTTCACATTTACTAACATCTGTGACAGCCTCTATTCTGCTATCTCTAACTAATGTGATAACATTAGAACAGTCTTCAGGTGATGTAACCCGGGTCATTAATCTGTCGCTCTGATTAAAGAGCATCTCAGTTATCTAGCCTTGTTGTAAATACTGACAGCAATCTTGCTATAGATTGCTTATAGTCAAAGAAACCATATAAAGAAGCTTTCACAATTCTTAGGTTACTAGTTGGACTATCGTTGATGTCTATACTTGATCGTACATCTTTTGGTTCTAACCAAACAGCACCGTCCAAAATCAGTCCTGTCCCACTCTACAGTGCCATCTAATTCATTAGCCAGTTCGAAAGATCATCAGCAAAAACAATGCGCCTCTTTCACAGTTGTGCTTCAAGGCTGCACTCAGTGAATCAACCAGCACTTCAGACAGAAACAAAGACCCTAAAGAGAGCTTAAAAACAAGAGACCTAAAGAAGAAGCCCCAAAACCTCCACACCTCCAAAATCAACTACACTTTCTAAAATATAAAGACCACAATATAGAGCAATAACTGCCAGAATAAAATCAATAGCTAGTGCTTTTCTCATGTACTAATGAGCTTATAATTATTAACAAACTACATACAATCAAGATTTCACTATAATTTATAATCTTATGAACAATACTACAGGAAAAAAATATTGGGATCTGTGCTTGATTTCTGCTCATTCTCATGGTAGTTCATCTGTGGCTGGTCAGTAATACTGAGTGCCAGACATCGCTAAAACCAGCTCCATATTGCTGTAACGTTCCTCAGTCATAAGTTACTAGACATCTGCAAAAAAAATGCAAATGTGATAATTATCAGTTCTGTTTCAAGTAGAGCCAGATGGTTCAGATGAGCTCAGCTGACAAACACAGTGAGATGCCACAGAATAATCTGCAGAATGAATCAGACGAAAGCAAAACTGAGTGTGAGGTCTAGAGCTTAATAGCATCATGTGATTCTGCTAATCTTTCTGCAGTGTCACCATCCACACATAGATTCAAGGGAGAGAAAAACATAACAAATGATCTCTGCACGTCTCAGATGATCGCATTAGCAAACTGGTAGATTAGCTGTGATAAGGTCATTTGCGTTAAGGTAGAAATTTATTAAGGTAATTAATAAATTGTGAGGGTAGGATGGATATATGAAGGATTGCCTTCACTAGTTCATTCTAAATGGCCCTGCCGGTGAGACAAATTGTTTTTTGAAAGTATAAATGTTCCATGTACGTCTCTCAATTAATGTGAGGTCATAAAAATTGCATGCACAATAATAATAATATAAGAACGAATGGCTGTTTAAAATAGTTTTAGATGAAGTATACCATGTTACACTGCAGTGCATGTCTGTCAACAACCCAAAACCCCTTTTTTGTTAAACAGGTACTGGTACCTCCATGTACAAACAACCATGGTACAGCCAAGATTTTACTATTACTTATCTCATGAACAATATTACAGGAAAAACAATCGACATTTGGGATCAGGGCTTGGAGCTTGATTTCTGCCCATAAAGATGGTAACGTTAGTCTATGTGCGATTTATCTGTGGCAGGTCAGTAATCTTCTGTCAGACAACATAACCGATCATGTTCTTCCAACTTTCAGAGTATTTTAGTAAAATGACAAACGTTTACTCTCTTTTTGATCGTGTGATGTAGTTACACGTCTAGACTCTAGACGATCAGGACAGATAGTGTCAGCGTTTCTAGGGAAACGCAACATCTGGACGTGCAATCGCGCGTCTAACCAGCAAGAACAGTCAACATGTCGGCATGTGATTTAAATAAAACGCAACAGTTTAGGTCTCAGTGATGGCGTTCAAGCAAAAAGCCAAATGCCGCACATATTTGCTCGTTATGATCATTCGACAGTCTGCTAAGCTAACTAGCTGCAAACCTGTTTCATCTTGACTCAACACAACGGAAATTCTAACAAGTGTCGCCCTGCCGAATGACTAGAGGCTTATGCGGATCAGAGAACAAAACGCTGAGCAAAAAACTACAGATGTTATGAATCAAATATGGAGAAATAAATTTACCTAATTTTCAGCGCTCCCTATAGAAGTCTTCACAACTCAAATTTCATGCGGCACTTCCGGTTTGCGATCCGTGTAGTTCAGTGTAAACGGCCCGGATGCCCGAGGAGACGTATGACCACACCCCCAAGAATGTGTTGTTGTTGTTGTTGTTATAATCGTTGAACAACAGGTAAAATGGGCCACATATTAAGATCTAATTGTCTAAAGCAAACGTGGGTTCAGTCAGGTCTCTTTTATCATAATGTGTTGAACAGAACAAGAGCCATAAATGTTAGAAGTCTCCCTCTATGTCAACACTCCTTCATTCTGGGACCATTGAATCTGTGCAACACCATTATTGAATTACAGTTACATTTAACCTTATAAGAAATGTATTAGTTTACATGAGTTTGATTTAAGTCTGTTCAGCTGAGGCGATTGCCCTGAAACTGCTTTACATTTATTGTAGCATTGCATGACATTTTGGTGTGAAATAAATTCATAGATGAGAGCGTTCAGTAATCAGTTGCACGGCATCCTAAATGATCTTGGAAGATGAAAAACTATTTTATTGAATTAATCTTAATAATTTTGTCTGCATTCCCATTTTACTCTATTAGTAAATTTACTAATAGGAAACTTTATGGCTTTTAAGGGGAGACACTGCAGGCAAAAACGCAGTTTTTTTTCACGCACCTGTCAAGTTTGAGATTTTGGGCTTTTGGGTGTTTCATAGTGTTTTTTAAGACAAGTGGAAAGAAAACATCCAAAAGACACTGTTAAGTGTTTCTTTTATAGCACGTTATCTATTTGTTTCAATAGATTTCAATTACAATTCATATTTTTAAAGTCCGTTTTCTCAAAAAGTTTTTTCTCCTACACTGAGCCATAAATCTCCACTTCAGTAGCACTTACACACACCAAACTTTACATTTTTATTCCTGTCTATATCCTGAAGGTTTTTACAGAGGGATTCGTTCATATATAATTTGCTTGATTATATACAGCATTTTATTCCCCCAAAAATTGTGAAAAAATATAGTGTTTTCTGTCCATTCTAAGCATTTTCTGAATTATGGAGTGACAAAAATGAGATACCCAAAATTCCCTCTGTAAAATCTTTTGACTCTAATATGTAAAAGAACTTTGAAACTGACATCATCCAGTTTTTAGATTTTTTTGTACTAGAAATGTATGCAAATTAGCACATACTTCATTAAATAATGACTCATTTGCATAGTTAAACCTAACATTTTAGAAAACTTGTAATGCAAAAAATGTTTGAAATTATCAATGTAATCAATCAACTGGGCAAGGCGATAACTATTAGTTTTTTTTTTACCCTATTCACCTGCAGTGTCTCACCTATTGCACATTTTTCTTCTTCTTTCAAAGCATCTCCGCAAAATACAGTGGATTTGATAGCTGTGAAAAAATAAGAGCATCTTTGGTGTGTGTTGTAATCACCCTCAAAACTGTTATCATTCAAGTCACTGTTCCTTCTCTATTTCTGTATGGCAGGAACCTGGCATTTAATTTAATTTAATTAAACCAGAATTACATGTGTTTCATTATAAACAAGACACCTGCCCATTCTCACCTTCAAAACACAGAAAGAAACACCATGCTCACACACTGGTATCAACATACAAAGAATTCAGATTTATTTATCCATTTGCAGGTTTGATCACATTTGACCAAAGTGTTCATTTATTGTGTGGCAAATATGTTCTTCCAGCTTGGAAGATCACTCCTCATCTGCTGAGCCTGTTTTGTCAATGACTTTTTTCATCCAGCGACGCATACGGAATAAGTGTGTGTAGAATCCATATTTGCCATCGCGGTCACAGCCCTCACCCCACGACACAATGCCAGTCTGATACCAGCGTTTATCTGTAGGACTCTGTGGGCAGTAATGGGTTTTAAAGGACAAGATGTTCAAATATAGAGATGTGAGTCCAACAAACAGAGCTTTATAGGACACTGATAAGTCAAACTTGTTTGAGGAGAGAAAAGCATAAACATTATACCTTCATCACAAACGGCCCGCCACTGTCTCCTTCACAAGCGTCACCTCTTTTTGTATCATCTGGCTGGTAACCTATAAAACAAAAGATGACCTTGTTGTGACACCTGAGTGCAAAAGCATCACACAAGCTCTCAGCAAATGAATTGTCTAGGGTCTAAAAACCATGAAGAATATGAAGTATATTACCAGCACAGAACATGTTGTCAGTGATGATGACCGAGGTGGAATTGCGGCACATGCTCTGATCCACAATGGGCAAGTGAATCTGTTGCAGCACTGATGGAAGATTGGTTGGGTTTGAGGTCCACGATTCCCTCAGGTTCCCCCAGCCAGTCACACGGCCCTTGTAACCTGCAAACATCAAACTTCAGAGAGAAAATCGGTCAATTACAGCTATATGTATACTGTCAGTTTGTTCTAAAGTTATGCTAAAATGCTTAAAGGGGGTTCAAGGGGTTAGCATCACTATGGTGTGAAGTTTCAAAATCGGATTAAAAATAAATGCATGTTATTAATCTTATTGTGAATGATTCATCCATGATTCATCAGACTTCTCAAATTGTTTAGTATGCTGAAACTCCACCTGTTTCTTACAAACTTGATCAAACTTGCATTCATCTACCTCCATCCAATCAACAACCGATGAGTAGAACCAAGTCCCTGCCCTACATGATTTTCTTTTCCAATAATCTTTTCACTTGTATATACAGTATGGAACAATATATCTGACGCTACATCTGTCTCATTGTAAATATATATCTATATTAAACTACTGTATTTTCTTACTTCTTTGCAATGTTCTTGGTGGGCAGACAAACAGGGTGGATCTCAGTCGTAAAGGTAACAGGTTTCTTCATGTGCAAAAGAGCAATGTCTCGGTTCAGGTTTTCCTTCCAGTTATATTTAGGGTGGACAATGATTTCATCAATGGCCACAATCTTCTCAGTGCCCCTCTCATACCTGACTCAGAGAGACACAGGAAAGGGTTTAAAACAGCTTAACCTTCTGTAAACTGATGTTTCTAAATGACTTGGCATAAATAAAGTATGTATTCGTGAAAAGTCCAGTGAAAATAAATATATAGAGGTTTTCTAGAATTTTTTAAAGACCTCACTTGGTACGAGAGTGTTTTCCCAGGCGGACGATAATATCATTGATTGTGAAGTTCTTGTTCCACGGTGGGTAGAGAATGCAGTGGGCGGCAGTGAGAATCCATTCATCACTGATCAGACTGGCTCCACACAGCAGCTCCTGAGGACTACGCTTATACAGCATCACCTGCCTGCAAATCACAACAAACACATCATACAAAGTGCAGCATTAGCTGTCGAGATGATCAATAATGCCAAGATGTTTAAAAGCAGCCCCTGTATTTACCATGGAGCACTGGCCACTTCAGCCTCCTCTCCTCCCACTATTCTGGTTCCAGAGTATGACATTAGTAGCTCCTTCTCGTTCTTATCTTCTTTGTTGATCTTCTCAAACAAGGGGCGCACTCCACACTCTGACAAAAGACAGCTTAATCATCTTAATTTTCAGTTGATTATAGAAGAACTCAAACTTCTAGTGATAACATCCACAAAACAGATGGGGAAGGTATCAGACTCTTACCTTGCTCTCCATTGCCAAAACTACGGAGATTAAAGAAAGCTTTCCTTTTGTCTCCGAGAGTTGCTCTCTCTCTACCATCTGATTCCTCGACAAACTTGTCCAAAGGGGCATCTGAGGGTGAATGACAAAGACCCAATGATGTTCAGTGTTGGCTTAGTGGTGTGTTTATAATTTATGGCTAATGCACTTAGGCTTCCTAAACATTTGAAAATGACATTTAATCCTAATTTAAAAACTTTGGCCCAGATGTCACTTTCAATGAATCTCCAAGGTTCAAGGGAAGAAATGAATATTTTTGTTGTTGAAGGGATAGTTCACCCAAAAATGAAAATTCTGTCGTACAGTTCCAAAGAAGAAGATATTTTGAAAAATGTATTCTTTTGCGTTCAACAGAAGAAAGACATTCATACAGTTTTCTAACAACATGAGTAAACGATGACAAAATCCCTTTAATGTATGTGTGTTTTTGTAGAAGGCAATACTGTTCACTCACCGCACATCTCCAAGTCACAGTAATCAATGGTAATGTTTCCGCCTGCTCCCTTTACATAGCACCAGGGACCCTCCATATCTCCATCTGGGTTTCTGCAGTGGTTCTTCACCAGCTGAACTTGAGGCAGCAACTCTTTCCCCTTTGTTAAGGCCTGCACTTCTGCTGCGGTCCACTGCAGGCATGTGCGACCCCCCAGAGTCACAGACAAATCCCCCGTGTAGGTCTCCCCATTTCCATCCAGACAGACTTCAGTCTTCAGGTAACGCTCTTCAGGTTTCACAGTAGGTGGTCGAGGAGGGGCAACAACAGTCTCACCTGAGGAGGAAAGAGTGAGATGATCAGGGCAGGTGGGCCAGCATAAATGATGGAATGGACATGTAGAAACTGTTTTTATGTATTTACACTGAAGCATAAAATGTGCCATAAACACAGGGCACAAATATGTGTCAGTTGCTATCAAATATTGTAATATGCATGTTTTAGTAAGTCAGCAGTCATTTAGCAGATCCAAAACTACATCCAGTACACTTACTACTGCAACAATTTCCTCTGAGCAACCTGGTTCAGCAACACAACGGTGATGGCTCAACTTTCTGGTTGCCAGCACAGTGCTTTAGTTATTGCACCACAGGACATTTTACTGTAATGTTTTAGTGATTTCTCTACCGCATTTTGGCACTCTGCAGGACTCCCTCCTGACTGTTGGGTCTCTTGTAAAACACCAAGGGCCTTCAATGCTCTTATCTGGGTTTCTGCAAAAGTTCTCCGGTAGCTTCAGCTGTGTCACATTTAATTCGCTAGGGGGTACAAGACGGTCATAAGACAGAAGAGCTGCTTCAACATCACTGAAGGCTTGTAAAGCCAAATACATGAAAACAAAACAACCTTTTCTTTACTGAAAGCATTTGTGTTTTCTATTCAATCAACATAAAAAGATTAAAGGTGGTTCAACACAAGAACAACAAAAACAGCA